TTTATGCTAAAAACGGTAGTTTGTCAAAGACAAAATTCTCTTAGAACCCAACCCAACTCGCCAGCCCCGGGAAATCCCTTTCACGGCCGAGGAAAGCCGAGCGCTCGCGAGCACGAGCGCGAGCACGAGCGAGGCCTGCGGCCCTCCGTGGCCGCGATAGGGGAGCGCGCCCTCTGCAGCGCCGGCGCGCGCAGGAGTTCTCCCGGTCGGGTTCATTGGCTCGTTTAACACAGGATGTTTTGTCTCGTGTTCTAAAGTTTTATTTTGGACAGAAGGTCGTTACGGAGGAGTAAACGTTGCCGTTTCTGGGTTACGTGTGACCCCCCACTGGTCAGAGAGAGCGGCGTGGGAAGTGTGGATGTTGCACTGGAAGACTTGAATCTGTAAAGCTAGAGTCACATAGGTCAATACTACAGCAGCGCGGAGGGCCTCCGAGAAGGTGCACCGACCGCAGGAGAAACAAAACAAACCAGATTTTTGATATTTCAGTGATTCCAAAGAACATTCTAGTTTTTTTTAACTGCAGAACATTGGTGGTGTTTCCACACTCGTGGTGTTTCTATCCAATTTCAGTACCCACGTTTTGTGAGGGAAAATGTTTTAACATTGCAGGAGGAATTCTTAAACTAACTGCAATGGCTGACTGGAGAATATTTGGTATTTAGGGTATTTTTAAGGTACCATCAAATCAGGTTTTTGTTAAGAAAAAATTTTTTTTAATCAGTATTGTTTTTGGAAGTAATATCCTTTGAAACTCTTGAACGAATAGTCTCAGAAACTCTTTGAGGACAGCCTGAGAGCACGTATTCCTGTCATTTTAAATAAATCACATGGTTCTGAAGAGTGAATTCAATCATGGGTTGCCGACTATGTCTTCATCGAAAGTGTTCACCCCGCTCAGGGTCTCTGGTGAAGACCTTCAAGAGTTTGGTTTTTTCTCCCAGAAAATTGGAAGGTAGAATTGTAAATTCATAGAACTTATTTTATAATGGTGTACCTCAGCAGCTGCCTTTCAATTTATGCCAAGTCCTTACTGAGTTTATACTTGAATAGTAAATATGTCTCCTGAGTTTTACAATGTCTTAAACTCAATGCACATTTTTTTTTCTCCTTTTCCCACCCTTTCTTGTTTGTAGTTCTTTCCAATGTCCTCTCACAGAGCTGATTTCCTTCCTGGCTGTACTTGTTGGGGTGCTGGATTTTTTTCCATGTCTTTGTCTTCCATAAATTCAAATATATCTATAAATATATATATGTTTTCTCTAGCTCGTGGTGAACACAGTAATTTGCATTGGAGAAATAAAACATTCGTTGCCCTTTTTTACTAAGATTTCACAACTTTCATTGGTACCTGCTGCTGAAGTTCCAAGACAGCATCCTCTCAAGTTCAAGGGCTGCTTTCCCGAGCAGGGGAGAGTCCAGTAGTAGGAGCAAGAAGCAAGGTTAATCCCTTTTCATCCAGCAGATCTTTATTGAGCATCTAATACATTCTGGGCATTGTGCCAATACAGGATCCAAACAGGCTTGTTCGTGGAGCTTACATCTGGTCGTGGGAAGAGAGCAACATAATTATCACAATAAATTGTTAGTGCCTTGGAAGAAAAGAATGGGATGCTATGAGAGACAATGCGGAGACTCAGTTTAGATGGGGAGAAAGGGCAGAGGAAACCTCACTGAGAAAGTGATATGAGGACAGACTCGAAGAAGTAAGGACATGGCCAGGCAGAGAGACTGAGAACGGGCGTAGGTCCGGGTAGCTGCGTGAGCACCACACTGTGGGCAAAGGCCCTCACTCGGGATGAACGGTGCTCCGTGACTTTGGGATCTGATGGAAGGCCCCGTAGCTAGCAAGACAGGAACTGAGTGGGCTGAACTGTGTGCTCCATTGATGGAGAGAGCGGGGGATCGCTCACGGAGCCACGTGAAGGATTTCGTATTTTATCCTAAATTCGATAGAAAGCAAAGAAGTTTAAGCATACAGGTGCTTTGATAAATGTAATAGTTTCAAAGAATGGTTCTGGCTTCAATATGGAGACTGAGTTGGGGTGCGGGATAAAAGATGAACGACATATGGAAATAGACCTGTAGGGAGACTTGGAAGTAATTCATCTGAGAGGTGAAAGGAGTTTGCAAATCCAGCAAAGACAGAAAGTAAATGGAAATAGTAGGCGATCTGTCAACAAAGGAAAGTAGCTTTCCAGGAATCGGCTCTCAAACTTTGTCAGAGGGGCTACTTCTCCAGTTCTTCACTTCTAGACCATGAAAACAAGGGCTTCAATATTAAATTATTCAGGATGGAAGCAAAGTTGTCATCTTGGAGCTATTTCAAAGGGAAAGCTATTTACTCAACACAGAAGAGAAAGCTATCAAGCTATGTAGGAGAGAGTAAATAGCTCTATATTCTGCACAGCCTGTAAGCATTTTAACAGAAATTGAAAGCTAGGCTTTTACTGATGATATATTGTACCAGAGAGAACAAAATATCATTTATATTTTATGTTTTCCAGAAGTACCCCCAGGATTTCAGCAAAAAAAGTTTTTAATGAATTGCCACCTTTTTTTGAATGAGATTGATAAAGCGAGGTAAAGTCACAGGGCCATTTGCAGAATGCCAGGAAACAGTGATTCAGTCACAGAAATAATTTCACTAGCAGAAAATGACTTCTGCATGAATTACATCCACCTTGAATATGTATCCATGAACACACACACTCCTGCTAAGATCAGGTCTTCCATAGATTACATTTTTTGCTATTCACTTAAAACAATTAGTAATGCTAACCCAGAGGATTTAAGAAATAATTATTCATGGAAAACATTGAATAGAGTCAAGTAAATTTACTTTTCTCCAAAAAGGAGATACCATTCTGGAGTTTTGTTTTCTGGGTTGGTTGGTTTTTGTTTGTTTGTCCCCCGCCAGAAGAGTATCGTGTTCTAGTTTCTGGTGTGGTCTAACAACTCAGAGATTGGAGTTTAGCATGACGAGTAAAACAGGAATGAGCCTGGACCGCATGTTTCAGGCCCAGGATTCTCCTTATTGCAAGTACGCAAGTACTTCCCAGCCTTGGTTCCCTAATCTGTGAAATGGAAATGACAGTACTTCATTGCAGTTTTTCCCCATAGAGTTTCAGGTATTTCAAAAGGAGACCGTGTATTTGTAAATGTTCAGCGCCAGTACTTGGCACATGCCTGAGTTAAGTGGGTACCTATGATTATCTTTACCCCCATTTGTTTTTGTTTTTTAGATTTATTTTTAGAGAGGGGGAGGAAGGGAGAAAGAGGGAGAGAAGAAACATTGATGTGTGAGAGAAAACATCCATCAGTTGTCTCACACGCCCCCAACTGGGGACCCAGCCTGCAACCCAAGTACGTGCCCTGACTGGGAATTGAACTGGAGACCCTTCAGTTCACAGGCTGGCCCTCAGTCCTCTGAGCCACACCAGCCAGGGCATGTCCCCATTGGTTGGTATAGTTTGTTCTAATAGCCAGAGATGGTGAAGTGTACTAAAGTTGGTCACAAATTCTTTGATGTCCCTTCCCCTTAAATCGAGGTGGACTCTGTGCCTGCTTGATCAGTATAGTTCCATGGCTGTGATTCTGTGCCAAGTTTCTAGTCCCAGGCCCTTAAGTGACTGGAAGCTTCCACTTCCTGTCTCTTGAGGTAATTGCTCTTGGAACCAGCCACCACGGAATGAGGAAAACCAAGCAACCCTGGGAAGGCCTATTGTACATGGAAGGGAACTGAAACTCCTCCACCCCAGCCCTCTAACAAACATCCGCACTGAGCTCCCAGCCAAGAGCCAACACGGATGTTCCAGCCATGTGAGCAAGCTGGGAAGAGACTCCTCTAGTCCCATTCCACCTGCCCCAACTGATGCGGAATGGAACAGACAGAGCCAAGCTCTCCCTACCAAGTCCTGCCCAAACGGCAGATTGGTGAGCAAAATTGCTTTTAAGCCACCAAGCTTTTTGGGTGGCTTGTAACAGCCATAGGTAATCAGAATAGATGAAATTATCATTTTCTCCTTCCACTCTGATCCCATGCATGATTTAGCAACAGATAGGGTGGGCAAGTTCATTTAGTCCAAAAGAAGAGTGGTTTATACAGAAAGTAGGCCATGAGGAAATTTGCCGAGTTTGCTTTGAGCTGTGTGGCCAGTGCTGGACTTGAACAGAACTCAGTCCAGTTATTCGGCAGACCTTTTTAGATGCCTGTCTTCGACTGGGTGTTAAAGCAGAGTTAGTACCTCTGAGAATTGATCTCATCCTGGATACAATTGTGTCTTGATAACAATTGCCATACCTTAAATCCCTGCACCATGTGCCACACTTGGCCGAAAGGTGATATAATGCAGCCAAAGAGACACAATGCCCAGTGGTCTAATCAAGAGAAATCAACTCTCAGGAATCGTTTTTGGCAAATTTTAGCAAAAGTTTTCGGATTGCATTGTTCAAAGGGGGTCTGTCAACTTTCATCTCGTCCAATTAGCAAAGAAAACAGTTGCTGCAGAGTAGTCTTTATGATGTGAATATTTATGATGTTCCAGTATCCACTTTCCGTGAGGTAATTGCTCCTCCCGAGCCTGAAGCCGGTGTGCTTCCACGCGAGGGAATAACTGCCTTGCAGATCTGACGTCGGCAATTATCCGGTTCAAAAGCTCTCCAGAGATTTGCAATGTAGTGCTCTTAAAACCCGTTTTAAACTGGGTAATCCTCGTCTTAAATCTTGTAATTTGCAAATGAGGAAATTGAGGGCCTTGGCTTGGATTCCTTCTATAAAACGGGGGTGACGTGAGATTTAACCGCCGCACAGCCTGAAAACACGCCAACGAGCCCGTGGTGCTCGCTGGCGTGTCAGCTGCTTTCCCTCGCGACTCCATCCTTTTCCATCACTTCCGCTCCCTATCTTTTCCCCGCCCCTAGCGTCAGGCAACGCGTCTGTGATTGGTTGTCGCAAGCTGTGAGGCGGGGGGACGGGTTTGCGGTTACCATGGTGACAGGAGGCGGTGCGGCGCGTAGAGTTCGGTAACCGCCGCCAGGGCCTCGAGGCAGCTGCAGCAACTCGCGCAGAGGCCTGGCGGAGCAGAAAGGCCGGACTGGCGCGTGGTTAGGCCGCGACCCGGCTGTGGCCTGGGCGGCAAGGCCTCCCAAATGCCGCTTGGGTCTCTGCGGAGCAGAACGGAGGCTGGGCCTGGCCTGCGGGTTGGTTAAGAAGAGGCGGACGGGCGGCTCACCTGTGCGGGGTGGATGCGGCGGCAGCAGCGATGGACGCCCTAGAGGAGGAGAGCTTCGCGCTGTCTTCGTAAGTGACACCGTCCGGTCCGGGACAACCTGGCGCCTGGCCTCGGCCTGCGCCCTTTGGAGCGGGTGCCCTGGCGAAGTGGGGGACTGTCGAGGCTCCGCCCCAATTACCGGTGTCAATTCTGTCACTGTGGCACCCGCCGGCTTCAGGCTCCAGGCTCGGGAGGACGAGAGTGCGGGGCGGGTGTCACGCAATGATCAACGCCTCCATCGCAGCACCCCTCCCCCACTCCCTCCTCCAATCTTTCATCGTCAGCAGAACGTGGCGGCTTTGAGCTGCCCAGGCCGGACCACGGGTCAGAGAACCCACCACCACCAGGGACTCCTAGTGTAATTACCCCCCGCCCTGGCCAGGGTCTCGCAGGCTCCGGGTTCACGCTGGCAAACTGATAGTATGGGTTGATAGCGCAAATGCGTTGAGTACAACTCACAGGAAATACATGCGGAGGAGCCTTAACATGTTCTACGCGACCCTTTCCCCCCTTTATTTCAGATTTTCTCAAAAGTGAAGCCATTACATTCATCTAAGTGTCGCAACACGTTGTGTTTTATTCTGTTTGGAATTACTAGATTAGACAATAATCATTACAATTGTTGAAGCTGAGTGATAGGAAGTTTATTTTGCTGGGGCGGGGGTTCCCCTGCATGTTTGAAAATGTCCAAATAAATTTTTTTAAACGATTTGAAACAGCAGCTAATCCAGGCGTATTTTCCAGCTCCTCCGCCTCTGACGCAGAATTCGATGCTGTGGTTGGATACTTAGAGAACATTATCATGGGTAAGCCCCCTCGCCAGTGTGGCGCTGCGCATCAGTTCTTACACCCGAGCTTTTAAGGACACTCACATCAATTTGGGGAGCTAACTTTTTTAAAAGATTTTTTTTATTTTTTGAGAGGGGGGAAGCGGGGAGAAAGGGAGAGGAACATCTATATGAGGGAGAAATATTAATCCACTGCCTCTCACAAGCCCCCAGCCAGCCCCGAAACGTGGGGGGGAAGGAACCTGGCCCACTCCCCAGGCATGTGCCCTGAGGGGCAATCCAGCCAGAATGAGCCAGTGACCTTTCGACCTTTTGCTCTGTGGGAGGATGCTCAACCCACTGAGCCACACTGGTCAGGGCAGAGTTAATTTTTAAACGAGAGAAAACATCAAGCTGCATACAATTTTTAATGTAGCACAATGTAATAGTAAGCCTTAGTGCGTGCACCCTGGGACTCCTTAAAACAACTCATGTCCACAGATCCGGGAGTCAGGGCTTACTCGGAAAATCCAGCACCCAGAAGTTACGGGGCTCCTGGCAAAACTCCAAGAAATCTTTGACCTCCTTTATTTCAGAGACCATGAGCCACCTGGTTTTAACATTTTTATGACAGAAACTGCAGAATCATACCATAGTCATAGCACACATGTCCACGAAGAAATCAAGGTGTTGTACTTTAGCTGGATCTGCATTTCCTGTCTGTGGGTTCATTTCGGCATCCATAAGTTCTAAGTAGTAAGCAGTAAGTGGCTCCGAGGGTTTAAGACAACTCTGTGTGAGAGAGAAAAACTTACAGTCTAAGAAAATTTGTCTATTGACTTCCAAGTTTTCTGAGAATTAGGAAGAGGACACTTCCTTGGTGTTACTAGCAGTATTTCTTAGTGTGGTGTAGTCTGAAAATCACCAGCGCAGTTTTTGTATGTTTGGGTGCAGGAAAGGTCCGTGCCCTTAGCCCTGTAAATACAGACGTTTCACCGTTCAGCTGTGACCCTGAAGCTCTCATTCCCTGTGGGTCTGGGGATTGCAGGGAGCCTGAGGAATACTTGGAGTTCTGCCCTCTAGGGGTACCCTGTATGCTCTGGGAAAATGAACCTTCTGTAAACCCAGCGTGTTTACTCCAAAGTCTTTTCAGCTATTACAATTTCCTATTTTCTGACATTTAAGTGTTTGCTGTGAACTAATCTCTTTGCATGAATTCTCATGTAAATTCCACCTAGCCATCCTATATAACAGGAACTGTGATCACCCTTGTTTTCCAAGTGAAGAAACTGGAAATTAAGTAACGTGCCCAAGGTCACACAGTGCAAAGTGCCCGAGGTGGTGTTTGAACCCAGCCAGTCTAGCCTCTGTCGGAGCCCATGCATTTAACTCACTAAACTGTTTTCACCACCACTGCTGGATTTATGTTAGGATAAGAGAACCCTGTCGTTCCTTTGGGGAAGAGTAATGCGAGGGAGCTCCTAACCCGCCCTGTATGCCGTGTGTAAGACCGGCTGGGCCTCGGTGGTCATGGCTGCAGGCCACACAGCAGTGCGAAGGTACTCGGTGCCACCAACTGGGACACTTAAAATTAGTGCAATCTAATGTTGTGTATATTTCATTATTAAAATAGTAATTAAGTAGTATTAAAATAGTAATAATAGTAATAGTAAGACTATATCATACTGGTGTCCCATTTAACGCTTCCTTGAAACACCTTGAGCTTTCTCTCTCCTTGACACTGACCACTAAGAAACCGCTTCTGACTTACGATTCCCGACTATGTACACACCGCTATGGTTTCCAGTCTGCACCACAAAGAATCCCTCTCTTCACTGTGCTTCAGATGACGAGTTCCAGTTACTGCAGAGAAACTTCATGGAGAAGCACTACCAGGAGTTCGAAGACACGGAAGAGAATAAACTCACCTACACACCGATTTTTAATGAATATGTAAGTGGATTTCTATTTCTCTTACCAGAGGTTAGGGTTTTGTTAAATGTGAATTTACAGTGAAAAGATGCTGAAATTTGCCCTGACAGGTGTGGCTCGGTTGCTTGGCATTGTCCCGCAAACCAGCATGTCGCTGGTTCGCATCCTGGGCGGGGCGCACGCCTGAGTGGCAGGTTTGGGTCCCCGTCGGGGTGTGTGGGAGAAGCACCCAGTCCCTGTTTCTCTCTCTCTTCCTCCCTCCCTTCCCTTCTCTCTAAAAAATAAATAAAATCTTTTTAAAAGAAAGGTGCTGAAAGCCCTGGCTGGCGTAGCTCAGTGGATTGAGCGCGGGCTGGGAACCAAAGTGTCCCAGGTTCGATTCCCAGCCAGGGTATATTCCTGGGTTGCAGGCCATAACCCCCAGCAACCGCACATTGATATCTCTCTCTCTCTCTCTCTCTCTCTCTCTCTCTCTCTCTCTCTCTCTCTCTCCCCCCCTCTCTCTCCCCCTCTCTCTCTCTCTCTCTCTCTCTCTCTCTCTCTCTCTCTCCCCCTCTCTCTCCCCCTCTCTCTCTCTCTCTCTCTCTCTCTCTCTCTCTCCCACTCCCTCCCTTCCCTCCCTAAAAATAAATAGAATTTGGTTTAGTCCTCATCTCCTGTTGCTTTGCTCCACACAGCTTTTGGGGCTGTTTTTCAAACGTTTGATTTTACCAGCTTCTATTTTAAAAGATGTTTGGCTTTATCACAGTCCTGCTTTCAGTTACTGTGCGTGGGGTCACCATACCTCGCCTTTATATACTTTTGACCTTTTGACTTTCACACGCTGTTTCTCCTAATCCAGTCGGGTAAGGACAACTTAGGTAAAAGTGAAAACCAAGGTGGCAAAACTGAAGCTAGAGTCCAGGAACGTCGGTTCCCGACCCTGGGGTCTTTCCGCTCTGCTGAGGTCTGGGGCTGCCTCCCGGTGTGACCTCCCCCCATCCGAGGATGGCCGTGGGCCTGCAGGACTCTCTCTCCTGATGCAGAAGCTTGGCAGAGTTGCGCAGGCTTCTCAAGCCAAGCCTCAGCTCACAAGGGCCCTGTGAGCGCCTCTAAGCACAGGCTTCTGTCTGTGCTCTTTCTGCACGAACTCCCCCTGCCCGGGATGAACAGTCCCTTCACCTCACTCCTTCCTTCCTGCCACGGGGTGGGAGCCCCGCCGCTGTCCCTGCTGACCCGAGAGCATCTGTGTTGTTTCGTGTAACGACCCGCCAGTGCCTCTCCCTCGGCGGGCCCGGCGAGTCCTCCTCCAGGACGGCAGCCGTGGTTCGGTTCTCTGTGGCATCCCCAGCACTCAACCCGGGGCCAGGTGCACGGAACAGGCTCTTAGTTCGGGCTTTGGGAAAGGAAGTCTGGTGGTCCGACAGAGGCCTTTCCCGCCGTTACAGATCTCCCTGGTAGAGAAGTACATCGAGGAACAGCTGCTGGAGCGGATTCCGGGGTTCAGCATGGCGGCCTTCACGACGACTTTACAGTGAGTGGGGCCCGACTCCGCGCTCCACCGTTCTCCGCCTTCCTCCTCCTCCCGCCTGGAAAAAAGGCCCCCTCTGGTGTTCCGTGCTCGAACATCAAGGCCGAGCGCTGAGCGCACTGGGCGGTTGGGTCCCGGGTAGGAGGGCCCCGAAACCTTTGAGCGGATCTCGAGGAGACAGTCTGTCCCACTGTTCACGCACAAACCAGCTCCCCCCCCCCCCGTCCCTTGCAGGCACCATAAAGACGAAGTGGCCGGCGACATATTCGACATGCTGCTCACCTTTACTGATTTTCTGGCTTTTAAAGAAATGTTTCTGGACTACAAAGCAGTAAGTCAGTTTTTTTTTCTGTTTTGTTGTTACGGAGTCACTCTTGCCCGTTGAGTTAGTCACGCTGAGCCGCTTGGAAAGCTCGAATAGAACCGTCGAACCCACCACCTCGGTGCCTCTCCCTGGGAGCCTGGCCAGCGGCAGCTGCTGGGCGTCCAGAGGGTGAGCTGCTGTCCCCCCGCAGGGACCCGGGACCCTTACTGGGGAATTGCATTCTCACGTTTTGGTGACACGGGTTCCAGAGACCTCTTAGGGTCCCTAAAAAATCAGAAGGACAAAACTAAAAGGCAGGCCTAATTCCACTTTGCCTTTCTTGTTAAACTGCAGGCTCTTACATGGGAAAATAAATGTTTCTCAGTGAAGAGAGGTGTGTTTTTTAAGACCGACCAGGTCCTATGCTGAGCAAAAGTGCAAATAACCACCCCCCACCCTGAACGCCTCCGCCCCCCGGGCCAGGGCTCTGAGCTACACGGGGCGGTTTTCTATTTCTTGCCTCATGAGGTTGTTTCTCTCCCTGTGTAGGAAAAAGAAGGCCGGGCACTGGACTTGAGCAGCGGATTAGTGGTGACGTCACTGTGCAAATCGTCCTGCCTGCCTGCGTCCCAGAACAGCCTGCGCCACTAGCCCCACCGCCGCCGGCAGGGGGACTGCCCTGGGCCTGGGCAGCCCAGTGGTTTCCTTCCTTCGGCTGAAGACGGAAGAACAGATCTTAGACCACCTCTGTTCTGCCACAACTCTTCACTAATGTGACAAGTATTGATGAGTAAAAAAAAAAAAAAATTACGTGACCCTCCCAGGACCCGTTTCTTCAGAAAAACCTGTGCTCAGCAACCCTGGTGGTACCCTCCCTAGGTGGACATCTCTCCCGGGGGCCGGAGTCGGGCCTGCCGCAGGTCCGCCCCCAGCGCCCCAGCGGGGCCTTCCCCACCATCGGCGGTGGGGCGGTGGGGTGTCTGCACGCAGGTCTCAGGCCTTCGCCTCCATGGGGCTCTCGCCGTGCGGGAGCTTCCCCCTCGGGCTGGACTCAAGCCAGCTGCCCGTCTTGAAGTCCCTGGAGCCGTGTCGTCACAGCGAGCCTCGGCCACAGGAACGAACCGAGAGATGTCCTTTGTGTCCTTTACCTGAAAGCTACATGTTCAAGTCCGTTTCTGGTCTTCCGTGTGCAGTCCCTGTGTCACCGAGTCTTCTGCTGGTCCCGAGGTAGTCCTCCTGTTTCTAGAACTCTCTTCTAAGCATTTTTGAAAAATATTTTTATACATCAATACTCAGGCTAACCTAGTGGCTATAATCTTGGAACTTCCACGATTACCCACTTCAAGATCAAAGTATTATATGCGTGTGCTCTTTAGTTGTTAGTCGTTAGCTCGGGGAGAGAGCAAGTGCTTTCTGCGCTGGCTCCCCCGTTCCCCCGGGCGCCAGGGAGCTCGCGCTCCTGCTGGAAGTGGGCTGCGGCTGTGCGTCCTCCTCTCCTTCCCCGGAGCATGCTGCGTGCTCGTGCAGGTTAGCTTTGACGTGTTCTGTGTAACGCGGTGCATTAGTCTTTCTGTTGGGGCGGGGTCTGCAGTTGCTTCTTCCGGTCAAAACTCTTCCTCCCAAGGCTTGGAAGAGCGAACAGTTCAGTTCCCAATGCGCACCTTAGACTTTTCTTTAAGTAAAAATAAAAGGCTGTACTGACCTTCCACTTGGCTGTTCTGGTTTTAAACGATGAGCTATGTACAGTCTGTTTTTTGTACAGATGTGGCGCTTACTGAATACATCTGCACTGTGAGTAAAATTCAAGGTGTTTTGCAAGAACCATGATTCTAAACGAGCTGTTTCTTTTCCTCACTGTAGCCGCTGCCGTGCCGTTGGCCTCACTTTGGTCCCTGAGGCCAAAGGCACCCAGAGCCAGCTCTCAAATGCCTCCTCCCCTGGGCTTGCCTTCCCTCGTCTTTCCACCAGTGGGCCTGCCCACGTGGGCGGGGCACGCTGGAGGCACTCACCCGTCGGTTCCCCTGGTTGAGAAAAGGCAGGTGGACAAGTCTAGAGATGAAATCATGAAAAAGGAATGAGAAGAAGGCAAATGGTTCTTTACACCATTTCCCACTCAGAGCAAAAAGCAAGCTTGTTGTAGTTTAGTGTTAGATGACAGGCTCTCCGACTAGTGAGAAGTCTCTGTCCCAATAGAAACGTGTGTCACCTGCCACGTGGGCTCCTGCTGCATGGGAGGGGGGAGCCCGGCATCCCACCGCAGCCCCAGGACATTGCTGCGTTCCCATTTCCTTCTCGCTGCAGGGGGGCTGTCCGCCCAGACCTCGGGGTCGAAGGGTCAGGGAGGCGCTGCCCTGAACCGAAGGGTGTTACCCAAACAAGCGTGTTTACATTTCCACCGAGCCAGGCCGTGTGTGAGGGTGTCTGCGACCTGTGAGACTCGCCTGGAATTTGTTCTCTCTCAAGCCTCAAGAGAAGATGAACTCTGATGGCTTGATCCTGGCCTGACTGATTCGTCATCCTGGGACATTCGAGGGTCAAGGAAATGCCATTAACATTTACACCAGGGCAACAGACGCGAGCTGGGACGGGCGCAGCCGACGCAGCAGCCCCTCCCTCCGTGAAGGAGCCGCGCGCCCACAGTGCTTTGAATCCGGTTACACGGAAGGACCGAGGGGGTGCCCAGGAACGCCTCTGACTCGTCCCTCGGAGCGCGCTGCTCTGTGGCAGCAGGGAGACAAGCTCAGGAGGGCCCCCGCCCGTTCCCCGTGCCGGCTGCTCATCGGTCAGGCAGGGCCCCTCGTCTCCGAGCGTCACACATGTGCCAGAAGGTGACACGACAGCAGCGTGAAGTTTCACGCGACGATGACCAGACCTGCCGAAACCTAAGACAGCTAAGGGATTCCTGTTACACCGAGACCCTCTGAGAATGAAGGGGATGCTGTCGAACTTACGCCAGGACACACGGCAGGAGCCAGACCCCGAGCGTAAGGAAGCGGGCAGGACGCCGGCTGGCCTGGCTTGGGCTGCAGGGAGTGCTGGCACTGCCCCATGCTGGACATACGGAACCTTCGTATCCTCTTACCCTGCCACTTCTTGGAGTTCATAAGCGCCCACAACCGTGACTCCACAGCACCTTTTCAAATACGTTCTTCCATCTTTATTTTTGTAAAAAAACAAAACATAACAAAACACAAAAAACCTGAAAACAACGGTCACCCCCAAGCACGTGACAGCTCACTGAGCGAGGTCCCGACCCCCCCCCTTCATGTCCCACGCGTCTCATCAGCGGTGTCAGGGGCGCAGTCGCACTGACGCTCGCTGTTCCCCAAGGGCCTTTGCAAAAAGGCCCTTTGAGACCGGTTTCCATCAAGGAGAAGCTGCTGAAAACCAGTCTGCTTTTAATAGGTGGTATGTCCAAGACACGGGAGAGAGAGACAGGGCTGTCAGAAACGTCTCCCAACAAGCGACCTGTAGGTCTGGGGGAGGGTCGGTCGGAACCGCGTTTCCAGGAGTCAGAACGGTCTCGCGAGCTTGCTCAGCGCGGCCGGAACAACGGCCGTGATGAGGACGCACACACGCTGCTCGTTAGGCTTATTCTACGGTGGGTCGGGGGCGGCGGGGCTGAGTCCTCGTTAGTGTGTTTAGTGCTGGTGAGAAAGCTGGGCCCCGCCTCGGATGGACGCCGAGGTCCTCTAAAGACAAAGCAGGGACCGTGAGCCCCGTATCCCCCGTCACCTTCTGCTGAATAAGGGGGAGGGGGAGGAGGAGGTGGCGGAGGTCTCGGCTGCTGGCCTCTTTCCAACCCACGCGCACGCAGACGCGGGCCGAGCCAGAGGGAGGAGGCTGGTTCCTTCAGCGTGCCGGCTGAGCCCAAGTCTGACGGTCAGCGAGGAGCAAGTGCAGTCCCTTCTGGGCCGAGCCGCACCGTGACCCGGCCACGGCCTTCAGCCCCCGGGTGGGCCTCGGCCCCGGGTGGTTCAGGCGTAGCCGCCGGCCATCTGGCTGGTGGCTGCGTTGCTGCCCACTCCTCGCCAGGCCTGGAAGCTGAAGAAAGCGCTCACTCCGTAGGCGATCATCACTAAACAGGCAAAGAACTGCAAGAGAAGAGAAGACACCAAAGCTCAGCCGTCCGTGGCATGGCGCGGGCAGGGGGGTGGTGACAGTGACACGGGACGGACAGCCTGGGACCGGTACGGTGAGACCTGGGGCCCCTCAGTGAGCCAGGGCCAGGTGCTCTGGCAGCCACACCGACCCCTCCTTGGCCTCCGCCCACTGCTGACCTGACGGTCTACTGGGGGACCATCGACCACCAGGCTGGGTGCGTGGTGAGGGCAACCGGACGACGTGCCATCCCGAGAGGCCGAGGGGCAGGAGCCACACGAGACTCACCAGGGAGTTTGTTTTTAAAAGGCAACATTCCAGGGCTACCCTAGGAGTTTTCTGGAATCTTCACACATGGCTGCGTTCAGAAGCCCTGAGTCCCGGTCTCAGTGCCCGAGTTCACCGATTTCAGAACCACCCTCACCGGGAAGACGGCAGAAACCCAAGTCCTGGTCTGGACCCTGCCCTGCCCTGGACTTGGCCGAGGCGTGTTACCTCTACGAGCCTCAGTTTCCCTGCCTGTCAGAAGGGCCTGGCGGTCCCTGTCCTGCGAGGCAGCGTCTGTGCCGGGTCTTGTTGGGGGGGGGGGCTGCCTGACCCAGAACCCAAGTTTGGGCTTCACAGGACAGCCTACGGGCCCCCCAGAAAGGTCTTCTCCGAAAGGGTTTAGCAGGTGCCCTTTTCAAGGCAGAGATGGGGGCAACCGTCTGTGACAGTTTCTTGGAGGAGGCGTATGACCCTAACTAAATCAGTGGGCCACGACCGACTGACAGCCAAGTTTGAAGGTTAACCCCAAACGTCCCTTCCCCCCGAGGTACTTCCCAGGCGCTGTGGTTCTTCAGGGCCTTTCTGTTGATCGGGGAAGACAGAGAGTGAGCTGGGCTCCCGTGGGGCCTGCCGAGGTTAGGAGGACTCGGCGGGGTGCGGGGGGGGGGGGGGTGTACGGCCCGCTGGCCCTGCCGGGGAAGCATACTCACCGAGGCGGCCGCACGCTGGTTGTAGGGCCGGGTGCCCTTCAGGGACGTCTGCTCGACCGAGGCGGAGCAGGTGATGAAGGCTGTGACGTACAGAACGGTGGCGCCCACGTTAAATATCATCAACTGGGGGGCGGGAGAAGGGAGAACTGGCTCAGGACACGAGACTCCCAGTAACTGGGACCTCCCGGTTCCCACCGGCACACGCCTTAGTGGTCAGGACGGGCTGACACCGGAGGATGGGGCTGGAGACACACGGGCCCTGCACATGCTCTGCTCCATGGAGGCCCTCGGAGCAGGGGCTGGGAAGGCCAAGGCTGAGGGGCGGGGAAACGATGGGAAGGCCGGCAGGGAGGGGGTCAGGGGCCACGACCCTCGCACCAGGTAGAGCCCGTTCCCCAAGGTGAGAGGCCTGCCCAGCCCGGCCCTGAGCGCACCAGCCAAGGAACAAAAGGGCACTCCTCCCCATCTGCTCAGGGCCAAGCCCAGGCCCCCCCTCTGGCTGCCATGGCCAGCCTTGGGGCGGGGTTGGGGGGTGGCCTCACCTCCCTCTCTGCCCCCAGTGGGAGGGACCTGTTGACCCTCTGGCCCACCCTAGGCTCAAGGCTGCACCTCAAACACCAGGGTCAGGACCCAGCAGGATCCGGAGCCAGACTGGCAGGGAGGACCCCAGCGAGCCGACAGCCAGGCCCGGAGCCAGTCAGTGGTCTTACCAGAGACCACACACCGGCGGCCCTCAGCATGCTGGGCTCCTGCCACAGATTAGTTTTTAAGTTGTCAATAATGTAAAATTAGATTTCACACGAAAGCCTGGAGATCTCATTAAGATCCTTCCGCCATAAAACACCAGAAGATTCGGCACCAGGGGGTGGTTTTCCCACTGCCAGCAGCTGGAGACGGGCAGAGGCAGCTCCCTGCAGGCCAACCCCCCTGCGGACCCACTTCACACATCCTGCCTGCCCTGGGGGGGGGGGTTGCAGCCCCCACCCTAGAAAAATCCCACTTGCCCACTCCCCTTCTAGAAGGTCCAGGAGACACAGCCCTGCCCCCACAGCCTGGGACAGAAGTCCCTGCCATCGGCAGCTGGGGCCGGAGACACCTGGGCCCCTCCACCCCCAGAGGCAGGGGGCGGGGGGCTGGACCCCAGCCTCGAAGTCAGCCCGCCCCTCCTCACCCCAGGATCTTCCCACCAAGCCCAGCACCGGCTGCCAAGGCCGCCTGGCTCCCGCCAGTGGTGTCAAGACCTAACAGACCCGTTCTGTCCCGAGGATGACTCACGTTTCCTCGGTTTAAAAAGTCATTGAATTCCAAACAATGCCGCCCAGTCCCAGCCCTGCTCGCCTTACAGTCATGTGCCTCTCCCTGCGCACGGAGCGCCTCAGACCCCAGCTGCAGGGGCTTTCCGGGTCAGAGAAGGGACGGCAGCGCTTTCTGCGTGCGGCCCGGGTACTTCCTCTGGATGCTTTCGGGCCTGAGGAGGCTGGTCTGGGCAAACCTGGGACGCCCCCCTCTCCAGGCTGCGGGGGCTTCCCCCTGCAGGTGGCGGGCAGAGGGCCCCGCTGCACTGGGGCACGTCCCGCATGCACCAGGCCCAGCCGGGGCGGTTCCTGCCCAGCCAGCCCAGCCTCCAGAG